TGTGTTACGGAATTTCAAAAAACGTATACTAAACTTATTTATAATAATGAAAAAACGTATGCAAATTTTTTATAGGGATTGAACTCTTATTCCCTTCTGGAATCATCATCTTCTTTCTCACTATCACTAATATTTATCTCGTCTAAATCCATAGGACCATCCAGAACATTTATTCGACTTGCACCTTCTCTGGCTACCATTTTGGAAGGTTCATTCCTTACTGGTAATTCTCTTTCTTTCGTATGCGATTCTTTTGTACATGGATTGACTTTTTTACCTTTACATATATTACAATCGCATGTTACATGTTGCCTTGAACTTAATTTAGAAGGTTTCAATAATTCTGGAATACGCACTTTTTTCAAAGGTTTGGGTGTATCCGTTACAAAAGTTTTTTTCATTTTACATGGCATTGTAATTAATATTTTAGCAAAATTTATTTCAAGTAAAAATGTACTTGTATTTATATCAATTAATAATATAATCGATTGATCAACGTCATCAATATCAAATGTCAATGGTATCAAATATCAATGTATCGAATATCAATGTATCGAATATCAATATCAAATGTATCAATTAAAGTATAATTAAACTAGATCAATTCATATCAATACAATTAATATAGTATATTTTATATGATGCGCTTGTGCCATGATAAAGTTTATTTGAAAGTTTCTATAATATATGGTATAAAGTATAAAAAGACCTGATTTCTATTATATTTGTTTCTTGTCTTTCTTTCGCAAAGATCTAACTTTCTTTAAAGCTTATCAGTTTCATATATTTCTTTTTTAATTGTTTTAATTGTTTCTATTTCGTTTTTAATTCTTTCGTTAAAACACATTATTTCGCTTTAATTTTTATTCTTATTTTAATTTTTAATAACATGAGTAACCGAAAGCCCTTTCAAATTACAATACATGATAAAATTTCAATCGGCAAAAACAGAAGTAGAAGTTACACAAGTAGAAGTAGAAGTGTTAAAAGTTACACAAGACAAAACAGCTGTGAATAAAGTTACATGAAACAAACCAGTCGCAAATGAAGCAGCTGTGAATAAAATTACACAAGACAAACTAGCCGCGAACGAAGCAGCTGTAAACAAAGTTACATGAGACAAAACAGCCGTGAACGAAGTAGCCGTGAATGAAGTTATACGAGACAAAACAGCTATGAATGAAGTAGTCGTGAACGAAGTTACATGAGACAAAGCAGCTGTGAACGAAGCAGTGATCACAGGAATAAACGATATAGATTAAGTCATAGCAGCTCAGGTAATAGAAGCAGAAGTTACGACCGATACGATCGATCAGAACGTGATAGGAGCTCCAGCAGACGTGAAAATTCAAAAAAAATTAGTATAATGTGTTAGTTGAATTTTGTAATATAAAGTAATTTTGTTAAGTTTATCTATTTATCATATATAATATATAATAGAGATCATATCAATTAAAGCAACGCTTGATTTTTTGATTGAAGAAGTGTGTAGTTTAAAAGCGCAATCCTTACAACAATCATGGTAATGACAATCACAACAATCGCGATCACCGTAACCATTTGGCGGTTATAATCAAAGGCCACATAAATCATTTGAAAAAATGGATAAAGAGTAATATAAGAGTTTCAGGGTATCCTAATCTTTTCAAATTCATATATATTTGCTACATGCTGAACTGATTACTTTTCCATTTCATAAATTTAGGACGAAGTCATACAAATACTATCTGGTCTTGATGGTTCTTTGTCTCTCAACCATAAAAATACGTGGAATGATATATCCGACCATGTATCAAAAAACATTATGCCAGCTATTGACAAAGCATTAAACAAAAGAATGGTTTACAATCAGACTAAAGATGGTCACCATAATTATTTTCAAATTTTAATTGAGTTGCAACTTAATTGCGTCATAAGGAAATTTAATTGCGCCACAAGTTGCAACTCAATTGCGCCATTTTTTTTAATTGCGGTGACCATCTTTAAATCAGACAGAACTTAAATTCGTCTTGCAACAACTCCATTGTCATAAGCGAGACAATTGGAAAAATTCTCAAGACAATACAAAGTCAAAAATAGACAAAAAACGAAAAGGAATCAATTCAAAACATTCTGAAGTTGGTTTGATTTTAGATATTTATTTCTACTAAGATAAACCGGATTACTGATAGGTCTTTATTTTATTTATCATTTCATTTTATAATTAGAAAAAAGAAAGAAGAAAACGAGGTATTATACACATGTACAATATCAATGATGATATTCTGACCTCCTCAAAACCTCAAAGCTTGTCAGAAAAAAAATATAGGGAAGATTTAGAAGAAATAATTGACGATGGCAAGTATCATTCTGATGAAGCATCAGAGACAGATAATGAAAAGGCGCAAATAAAAATTAACGAATATATTAGGTCAAAAATAAGTCACCGGAAGATAAACATGTAATTCGAGTATACGACAAACCTTGGCAGTCTAGAAGGGTAAGAAAAGTATTTATTGAATCAAATCTTTAATTTACTTATATTTCTTTTATTATAGATCAAAAAAATTCTTCGTCATGCCGATGCTATTGGCTTCGAAATACAGCATATTAAAGTTCAAAGGAAGAGATAGTACGATGACAATTTGTACAAAGACAACTCAAAACCACCAGATAATGCACCTAATTGGACTATATCGACTGCGTATCGTAAAGGAAGTCAAAGAGAAAATGAAGTTCAAAGAAATGATGCATTGTTTGAAGTAAATCATGGAGAGATAAGCTGAAGAGTAGAAGAAGAAGCAAGGTGAAGAGCAGAAGAAGAAGAAGCAAGTCTAGGAGCAGAAGAAGAACCAAGTCGAAGAACTAGTGAAAATCAAAGAGTTAGCGAGTATGAAGAAGTAAATAAAAGAGTTACTGAAGTAAGCTGAAAAGCAGTAGAAGTAATTCGTAAAGCGGAAGAAAATAGAATGTCATATACTAAAGGAAAATGTAGAGAGTGAAACGTTAATAATAATAGCTAGAGTTTTGTATAGGTATATTGCAATTTATTTCAACAATAAAAGATATTGATATATTAAAATTTAATATTGACTATAAGCATTTGACATTGTAAAGCAATATATTTCATTACTTTTTAATAAATATATATTGTACAGTATATAAAATTGATACCATATATAATAAAGTATCATTTAAATATCATATCAGTATATAACATTATAAGGGGATAATCAATGACATATCATAAAATAATTAATGACATATCATATAAGAATCATTTAGATATCAGGATACTGATATGAGTATTATGTTTTTATGATGTTTTTATGATATTTAATAACCTGATGTGTAGCTTATTTTTAAATATTTCTGCCAAATATAAGTGAGACATCAGCATTGCAGATTATTGAACTATCGGATCACAATATATGACATATCATGCAGATATCATGTATCCAATATCTGTATGATATATTATCATTCGACCGGTGTCAGGTCGGATCAGGTCAAATGAAAATTTAAATCAGGTCGGATTTTTGTTTGACTTGACCTGATCCTCTCAGTTCAGGTAACTTGATTGACCTGACCTGAACCGACCTGTTCAGAGCTCTAACATTACTATTAAATAATTTTATTATAATAAGAGCTTAAATATTTATTAATAAATGTTTTTATAAAACATATTTACTAATCAATTGATTATCCATTTTGCTTCTACATGAAACTGTCAGTTAAATTCTAATTTTTGATCTTTAGACAATTCATTAAAATAAAATTCAGATAATATTAGAAATAAGTCTTTAGTAATAACATTGTATCATCACATTTCTCTAACTTCTACTAGAGTTCGTTCAATATATTTTTAATACTTTCTACTTGATAAACCTTAACAAGGTTTTCTTTTTACAGGCATCTCAATAGGCTTGTCAAATTTATTAGGCCTAGAAAAACTATCTAAGTTGCTAGTATATTTAAAAAAAATTAGTAATTTCAGACTACTTATTCTTCAAATTGCAACTATTTTTTACAACATGTCTTATCAAGTTTGTTTCTTTGTATTCTTTATGTAGAACAATTCATTTTCATAAGTACACTTAACTATAATACTACTGTGAATGTGTATAATATTTGGGTTTTCTTTAAATATTCTAACGTATATTTCTAACCTATTTCTAATTAGTTTAGTTAGTAAAAGAAATAAGTTTTCAACTTTACACTGGTTGAAATAATCCAAATCAGCTAAAAATCAGATGGCTAATTTTAGGCTGATTTTGATACTATTTACAGCCAATTTGCTATATTTTCTGATCAGTACAAATAGGTGCCGATAGATGCTGATCGATCCCAATCGGACATGGTCATTCAGTAATAATTCAAAACTTAAATTCAACCATAAATCAGCCTAAAATTGGCCTCAATTCAGCAATAATTCAGACGTCGATAGACGCTGATCGACTCTAATCAGATATAGCCATTCAGATTAAATTTAACCATAAATTAGCTTAAAATTGACCTTAATTCAGCATCATTTAGCATTAATTCGAAACTTAAATAACATAAATCAGCTTAAAATTGACCTCAATATAGCATCATTCGACATTAATTCAGAACTTAAATAATCATAAATCAGCCTAAAATTGATCTAAATTTAGCATCATTCAGCATCAATCCAAAATTTAAATAACCATAAATCAGCCTAAAATTGGCCTTAATTTGGTATCAATTCAGTCAAATAAGTATATAAAATCGATATATTATA